ACTGCCTCTGGAATGATAGGATTAAAGGTGTGTGTGTGTCACCATTTTCTGGCCTCTACATCTAGTGGTGTTCTGTTCTCTGATCCCAGATAAGTTTATTAGGATGCACAATATTTTGGGGAACTCAATACCACTACATTCCCCTTTTTTTGTTTAAAAATTTAAAAAAGCTTATAACTAATACCAGAAAAACTATCCAATAAGCATATACAATATATGCAGTCAAGAATTACATTAATGATGTCTAGTCCATTACCATTTGACAGATTCAGATAAAAACTCCATTGTATATATAACAATGTCCAGTCCAGTAACATTTGATAAACTCAGACAAAAAATTTTCATTACATATCTTATTTTAAAAAGTAGCTCCTTTTTAAAAGTAGATTCAATAATCTCCCTTTTTATATTATTATGTCTATCTTCTCTTTTTTTCTCTTCATATTAGATTCAGTAATCTACCTTTTGTCATTTTTATATTTTCCCCTTTTTCTTTTTAGAGTAGATTCATTGACTTACCCATTTATGCTATTATTCCTCTATCTTTTTTCTCAGAGTAGATTCAATGATCTACCTCATAGCTATATTTTCTTCTTTCTTTTTCTTTTTTTAAACAAAACCTCTGAATCTAATCTCCATGTTCAGCTTCTTTCCTGATCATCAACAATTAACAACTTGTAACCAACCATCATAAACAATGACAATATCCATAACTCATTAAACAACCAAAAACCTCCCATTCTACCTCTTGGGAATGTGGACATCATTTTTCTTAAAATTACTTCCTGTTTTCTGGGGGTGAAAAGAACTTTAGGGAATCCTGAAAAGAAAATTTTTGGGTTAATTGTCAAGACCTGTATCATTTGTCCAGTCCCTGCATAATGAGAAAGTGCAGGGCTTGTTTCAAGTCCTTGTTTAAGTAGTCTGTCAGGCTGGATCATCTCAGCTAGCCATCTGAAAATTGTCCTGAGCAGTTTGTAGTCCAAAGCTGATTTTTCCTTGGTGTTAATCAGCTTAATGGCTTTACCATAGTCCATGTGGAATTATGTTTGTGGGGTCCCATCATCCTTTTGAAGATTTCAAAGTCGCTGTTAGGCGTGGTCATGATTCCCTGTAGATATTTTTGTGTGAGTGCCTCCTCTGTGGTTTGGAGTAATGACAGTCTGATAAATGTCTGTCTCTCAGAACCACAAATGTTCTTCCCTAGAAGAGAAAAATCTTCACAGCAATTTCTCCCCACCATTTGTCTTGCCAAACTTTTCCAAACTGACCTTTGCCAATGCTTTCTTGTAACATGATGGTCCTGGCAATTCTTCTCTGAAAAAGCAGCAGGAAACCCTTCATCCCAGGTAGCAGCATCATTGCAGTCACCAACACGATGAGAAGCAGCTGGCAACTCTGAGCAGCAGTCACTGCCTCCATGGTCCCACTGCCACTGTTTGTAGCTAGTCCCCAGCCTATGCTTCTTCTTAGCAAGCCTCCCAGGCTGGCCTCAAACTCGGGATCCTCCTGCCTCTGCCCCCTTCAGCAAATCCTATGGGCATGCACAACCACAACCGGCAGTGTGGCTTGAGTCTGAGGCTGGGGCCCGCAAGGCCACAGGCAAGTAGCTTTTTCGTGAATTCGTACCACAAACATTGGGTGCCAGATGTAGCATGAAATTTAAAGGTTCTTATTAATAAAAACAAACCTGACGGCAGGTATTGGGGTGAATTCCAGAAGATCAGAGAAGCAGAAAAAGCTACAGCCACCTCACCTTGTCAACTTCTCAGCTGATCCTGTTTCCTCAGACTGTAAGCCTCTGAGTCCTTATCCAAATGGATCTCAGCTGAACTGCTTCTCAAAAGCCTGAAAGCTTAACCACCTAAAAGCTTCTAGTTTCTGGTCTTCATGCCTTATATACCTTTCTGCTTTCTGCCCTCACTTCCTCGGATTAAAGACTCATTTCCTGGGATTAAAAGCAGAGTGTTTCCAGTGTGGCCTTGAACTCAGAGAGATCCAGGTGGATCTCTGCTTCTGGAATGCTAGAATTAAAGATATGTGTGCCACCATTTTCTGGCCTCTATATCTAGTGGTTGTTCTGTTCTCTGACCCCAGATAAGTTTATTAGGGTGCACAATATTTTGGGGAACACAATACCACCACAAAGATGTCTGAAAAAGTTCAGGAGGCAGGGGGCTGCCAGAGCACTTGCAGACTCTGTCTGGTAGGGTAAGGCGCATGCATGCCTTGCTGGGGTCGCGCAGCGGCAGGACTGGGATGGGGAGATCAGGCTTGACTTTGAGTAGAAGGAAATGGGGCCAGGAGCGCTCAGCTGGTTCATCCATCACACACTGATTCCAGCCTTCATTCATTCATACATTCGCTCGCCTTTGGACATCATTCATGCATTTGCTCTGTCTTTTACTCATCCATTCATACCACCAGTTCATTCTTCACTTGTTCATTCAACCCTTCACTAATTCCTTAACTTAGTCACCAGTTCACTCACACATTAATGTATTGTTTGATTCACATGCAGATCTATTCACTGATTCATTAACTCGTTCACTGTAATGGATTCATTCATTGAATCCATTAGTTTCTTCACTTATCCATTTGTATACTCATTCATTCATGCTTTTATTGCACCATTAAGTCATTCAGTATACATTACCTCAGTCATTAGGTCCTTCACTCATTCACTGTATCATTCATGCATTTATTCATTCACTCATTCATTATGCACTCATGTCAGTCATGCATTCATTTATTCACCCATCTGCTCAAGGAGCAAGCATTTGTTGAATTGGCATCATCACTGCTGACAGAACTCATGACAGACAAAGAGAAAATTTCAGAGTGAAAGTCCCTAATAGTCTGAAGGGCTTTTCCGAGACGCCATTCTGATAGCACAAGACTGTGCTGGAGGACATCGGTGCATCCTCAGAGAGTTTTACATTTCTCTGTCTGCCTCTAGAACACTGCTTCATGCCAACACAAGGTCTACACCATAAGCCATCTCCCTACCCCTCGCTGGCCCTCATCACCCAAGATCTCCTTCTGTCTCTGGATCCCCCTGTCCTGGAGTCCACGCTTTGTGGTTTGTGTCTGGGTTGCTCACTGAGCACTGTGTCCTCAAGGTCCCTCCTCACTTCTTCAGGGCTGAGTGGTGTCCCCAGTGTGGACAGATGGACATTGTGTGTCCATCCATCCACAGGAAGACCCGTGGCATGGGCTGCCCCCTTCTGGACGCTGTGAATAAGGTTGCCAAGGATATGTAGGGCTGAACATTTTTATTTCTGTTGAGCAGACACCTGGGAGACTCCATGTTTAACCCTTGGAGGGTGGTGTAGTCTTTCACTGAACTTCACTGGTCTCTCTCTTTCTCTCTCTCTCTCTGACAGGATCTTGGGTTCTTGACCCCGACTTACCTCAAACTCGTTCTGTAGACCAGGATGGCCTTGAATTCTGAGAGATCTGCCAACTTTGGGATTAAAGCTGTGTATGCCACCCCGACCTTAGTCAGTGCTAAAATGTGTAGCCCACAATGGCCTCGAACTCCTGATCCTGCTGCCTTTGCCTCCTTCAGCAACTCCACAATGGGCGTTTGCATCTTTTCACTGCACTCTCTCTCTAAGGGAGCTGCCCCTGTCCCTCAGGCATCACTAGTCAATCACGGCCTCCAGACTGACTTCCGGTCAGTATGTGGGCGGGTACTTCCGATCCCACTTGGCGACGGCTACTGGGGCTCCGCGACTGAGGAAGGGAGACCCTCGTGTTCCGTGTGCTGCGCTGTGACCGGCTGCCGGGAGCTGGGAGGGGAGCGCGGCGAGCTGGGAATCCGCCATGGTGAGCGAGGGGCCGCCGTCCCCATGCGGGGAGGAGCCGCGGGAACAGGTGTGGGGTCCTCCTAGGCTGTGGGAAACAGCCGCCCAACACAGTGAGGTCACACAAGGGCCATGCCACTACCGGGAGCTGGGCGGGAACCGGCGGACCAAGTAATTACGTCGCGCCCCCGGGTGCGCAGGCGCAGAGCATGGGAGGCGGGAAACCTGGCGTGGAAACATCCTTGTTGTCAAAGTTATGGTGCAGGGCGCTTGTACGCGCTGTTTTTACTGTCTCCAGGGAAGACAGATTTGCTAACTCACAGAGCCCTGGTGTCTCTAGTGTCTTCTAGAAGTTCTGCACTTGGCACTGAACATTCAGGTGTAGGTAGGTCTGTCCGCAGTAATTCTGTGCAGGGTGTGAGTTCTGTGCCATTAACACATTTGCATGTAGATGACAGGGTGGTCCAGTCACGTGTGTCAGTAAGGCCATTCTTACTGGGTTTCCTGGCCTCCTGTGTCACAATTAACTCCATATTAATTGTGTTTTCATTTCTAAGTTTGTTCCCCTGTTCTAATGATCTCTTAATTCTTTCCCAGACAGTCTAGTCTTCATTACAGTTGTATGATAAGTTTTAAATTCAGATGGTGTCAGAGTGTGTGCTGTTTATTTACCTAATCTTATGTTGATCATTTTTTTCATTCATGGTGACCTTTGTCATCATTTTTCAATGGTTGGTATGAAAAATTGTTGGACTTTTTACTTTACTGTTGCTGAATCTGTTGCTCAATTTTGTACTGAAATAATATTGAGGCTTCCTGTCCGCAATCCTGGAATTTCTCTACTTTTATTTAGTTTGCTGATTCTTTTTATTACAAATTTATAGCTTTGCCTACAGATATTAGTCACATTTCAAAGTATTTCTGGCTGTTTTATCCATGGTGACATAAAAGTGATATGTGGATATGGTTTTATTTGTTTATTTAATTTTTCAAGATAGGGTTTCTCTGTGTAACCTTGGTTGTCTTAGAACTTTGTGTAGACCGGGCTGGTCTCAAACCCAGAGATTCACCTGCCTCTGCCTCTGGGATTAATGGTGTGTGCCATGGCTCCCCGCAAGGTTATGTGTTTTTAACTAGTGCTGCTTATTTATTTTATTCTATGTGTGTGGCTGTTTTGCTTGCATAAATGTATGTTCATTGTGTGTGTGTTTGCTGCCCACAGAAGGCAGTAGGGGGCATCAGATCCTCTGCAAGGGGATTTAGTGATGATTGTGTGCCACCAGATTAGTGCTGGGACCCAACCCAGGAGTTCTACAAGAGCAGTAACTGGTGGTAAGTGCTGAGCCATCTCTCCAGCCCTAAACTTGACAGATTTTCAAAACTTCATGTGTGTGCATGCACAAGTATATGCTGAAAAGCAAGTGTTGAGAGTTGAGGTTTGCTTAACAATCTGTCTTTGGGGGCTGAGAGATGACTCAGTAGGTATGCTGGTTAGCTTTGGTCAGCTTGACACAAGGTAGAGTCACACTGGTCTGTAGGCAAACCTATGGGGTGTTTTCTTCCTTAATGATTGATAGGGCCCATCCCACTGTGGTTGGTGCTACCCTGGGCAGGTGGTCCTGAGTTCTATAAGGAATCAAACTGAGCAAGCCATGCTATCAGGAGGGCAGTAAACAGCACATCTCCAGGTTGAGAGCATATGTGGAATGCATAAGCCTATTGTATATACAAGTTGGCAAATCTGTTCCTGGCCCGCTCCTCTTTGTGTGTTAGGTAGAGCTGGAGGCTTTCTATTTCTAAGGAGAGTTTTCTCAATTAATCTCTAAGTGTGTGGCATGATATCTCATTGGGAAGGCATATCAATTCCAAAACAGTTACACCTTCCAGTATTCAGAACAATATTTTAAGATAAGGTTTGTTATGTTGTCTCTCTTTGGGTTGGTCCCGGTGTTTAGGCCCACAGGGCAATAACGCTGCTGCCCTCAGGACTCAGCCTCTTCAATTCTTGATTAAAGGTTTGCAGCAGCACACTTTTTTTTCTTTTCCTTAGACAGAGTTTCTGTATGTAGCCTGGGGTGTTCTGGAACTCACACTGTAGACCAGGCTGGCCTCAAACTCACAGAGATTCAGTTGCCTGTGTCTCCTGAGTGCTGAGATTAAAGGCGTGTGCCACCATCACCCTGTAAGTAGCACACACTTCTACAACTACCCATTGGAGTCATGGAATGGGCTGTCCATTGCACTAACAGGGATAGGATTTGTGTGTGGAGCATGGCTTCTCCATTAAGACCAGAATAGAAGGAAGAGTTTATTGTGTATACCACAGGGGAAAATAGACTAGGCCATAGCTAGATTGGAGATTGTTTAAGTCAGTGAGCTGCAGGTGTCTCTGTTATCAAAAAGGACATGATTGGGCAGGTGAGTGCCTTTCTGTGTACTTTCCCAGTATGTATTAATTCATACCATTTGAATGAAGGAAAACCAAATTGGTGGGTGTACATTTTGGGGAGGTTAGCCTGAGCCACTGAAATTTCTGATTGGACAACTCTCTCATGATGGTAACTGCAAATCTGTTTGTCTCACTTCAGTCAGGTGAGAGCATTGAGACACTGGGCATTTGGCTGTGCCTTGTGTGTAGCATACAGTACTCAGCAGCTAACATTTCACACAGGGCAGGGTCATACAGTCTCTCTCTCTCTCTTTTTTTTTTTTTGAGCTAAGGATTGAACCCAGGGCCTTGAGCTTGCTAGGCAATTGCTATACCACTGAGCTAATCCCTCAACCCCCATACAGTCTCCTATAAATGTGGACTTGAGTTCTGTGCAGGATGGTGAGTATAGACCTATTTATATTCTTCCCTTTTTTTTTTTTTAAGATTTATTTATTTATTATGTATACAGTGTTCTTTTTGCATGTATCCCTGCAGTCCAGAAGAGGGAGCCAGATCTCACTACAGATGGTTGTGAGCCACCATATGGGTGCTGGGAATTGAACTCAGGACCTCTGGAAGAATAGCCAGTGTTCTTAGCCTCTGAGCCATCTCTCCAGCCCTATTTGCATTCTTCTTCATGCAAACATCTTGTTTGACCAGGACCATTTGTTGAACATGCTGTTTTCCAGTGTCTATTTCTGGCTTCTTTATCAAAACCCAGGTGTCCATAGGAGTGTGGGTTCAGGCCTGGGTTCAATTTTATTTCATTGATGCATGCGTCGGTTTTTATGCCAGTACCATGTGGTTTTTATCACTATACCTCTGTAGTACAGCATACAGTGTAGAATGGTGAAACCTCCAGCAGTTCTTTTATTGTTCAGAATTGCTTTAGCTATGCTGGGTGTTTTATTTTTCTATCTGAAGTTGAGGATT